AGCTGATGTCAATGTTTGCAATTGTCATCCTTTGATTGAGGTCTGGCAGATGTGTTGAATTCCCTGTTTAGTTTTTACATTAAAGATGCTGCTTCTTAACACCTGGTGCTAGAACCGTGTGGTGATGTGTTTTGTTATATAAAGAAGGCAGGATCTGCTATTCCCTGGAGTCTGGAATCACTACAATCCTGAGGCTTGTATTTAGAAATCAGTCTACGAGGAAGGCGTGGATTATTGAGAGGGTAGGCATAAAAGTGACTTAAATCCATAATCAAATAAGCCATGACTGTATTAAATGCCGGAGCAAGTTTGAGAGGCCAAATGGCCGACACCTACTTCTATTTCTTATGTGCCCAAACAGCACGTCACCTACCAAAACCACCTCTCTTTAGACAAAATAATTTACTGAGTTGTAATGTTCCTTGTTAGTGCTGTGCCTCAGGCAATACATCTTCCGAATACGATCCAGGTGCGTGATGTTTCCATAATGGCACTGTTAGTGCAGTGATGTGTATTTGATGCTGCCTCCACATGATGCTCTCAAAGGTAATGTATGTTTCAATCGCTCCTGTCCTGATTTGACCTCTTCTAACATACGACCCCTACTTTCCACAGGTTGCACGGTGAGGGGAGGACTGAAAGTTGGAATTGGGTTTTCAGCCAGGCTTGGGGAACACTGAACATGGAGCAGAGTCCAGAGATCGCCATTGATGTGTGACGTTTTATGGAGCCCGAGATGTCAGCAGCAGCAGCCCAGCTACTGGCCTCAGTTGGAACAGTCGTCACTTCGTTCCCAGAGGCTATGAACCCCAATAAGCGCGGCCGTGTGACTAACCAGCTCCAGTACATGCTGAAGGGAGTGGTGAAAACACTGTGGAAACACCAGTTTGCCTGGCCCTTCCATGTCCCGGTTGATGCTAAGAAACTTAACTTGCCGGTAAACTGGGCTCTGGGTGTGCTATTTGAGCAAGGCATTGCCAATGCAAAGGGGATTGATTAATGGTGGCACTTCATTTATTTTTATGTATCCTGTTTAAAGTAGCTATGGGATTAGTGCTTGGGAAGTGAAGCACCCTGCACTGTATTGATTTAGACTGGTGACACCTCATTCCAAACACCACCCCCTCTGCTCCTGAATTCTGGTGTGCACTTTTTGATTTCAGGTATAGGGGAAGATAGTTAAACTCAGTAGCTGTGGGCTAGAGAGCGGGAGCAGCAGGGTTCCTGCTGTTTCACTGTCAAAAGAGCGCTACCTTGCAATACAGGGATATTAAATGTTCGTGAGGAATATAGACAGTGATGTTGACTTTGTATAAGATTTGTTACACTTCATTTGGATTATTGTATCCAGATGTGGGCACCATGTTGTAGGAAATGTGTGAATACATTGGAGAGAGTGTAGATACAATTTGCAAGAATGGTTCCAGGAATGAGAAATCTCAATTATCAGGGTAGATTGAAGAAGTTGGGACTATTCTCCTTGGAGAAAAGAAAGCTGAAAGGAGATTTGATAGAGATTTTCAAATTCTTGAGCAGATTGGGCAGCGTAGCTTGGAACAGTGATTCCAGTTTGTAAAAGAAAAAGAATGAGCAGGCATAGATTTAAAGTGATATGCAAATGAAGCAAGGGTGATGTGAGAAAAAAACTTCTTCACACAGTGAGTAGTTAGGATCTGGGATGTGCTGCCTGGGAATATGGTGGAGGCAGATTCAATTGAGGCATTCAAGAGACGTTGGATGATTATTTGGCTCGAAATGGTGTACAAGGACGTAGGAAAAATCAGGTAATAGAGCCAATGCAGGTACAATGGGCCAAATAGCCACTTTCTATCCCGTAATAATTCTGAGATTCTGTGATATCACGGTTGTGAAGGGTGAACTAATCATTGAAGAAGCCTAGTGGCGATTCACTTGTTTCTGAATTTGGATCACTAACTGCTTTAATTTTGTGTAAAGCTTTGAAAAATGAGGTGTTGGGGTGATCCAACTCCGGGTTGACAGAGTAAATTGAGACAATCCTTCCCTATATCAGCAAGAGTCCAGAATGAGGAAGTAAAATCTGGGAAGTCCAACCGAGTCACTGAAAAATAAACCCAGAAAAAAAATGTCTTTACATAATAAAACAGTGGATTGAGAAATGTTTGAGGTGTTTGAAAGCGAGATGTGAATGTACTTGAGAGGGAAGGGTAAGGGAGTGGGCTGAGGTTTGTAAGCTGAAGCTGTCACAGTTTTGTGCAATAAATGATTCTATGGTTCCGATGCTATGAGGTATTGAGGTTTCTGGAGCAACCTATTCAGATGTGTCATTACACGCCTCTAGAGCAAGTGGGACTTGAAACTGGGTTTCCTGGTAGGGACACTGCTACTGCACCACAAGAAACCACTTGAAGAAATTCCTTTTCTCCCCCAAATCAACTTGTTCAGAAATGTTATTACATACCTCTGCAACAGATCGATCTTGAATCTGTGTCTCCTGACCCAGAAGTAGGGACAATACCACTGCATCACAGCAGCCGCTGAATGTGGTTCCTTTATTTCCCTTTTTAAAATATTTATAAGTGCTTTTGCACATAACTGAAAGGCTTTTTCCCCATCATTAAATCACGTGTGCAATTTTTTTTTCAATCTGTTAACCAACACTAGTAAATCAGCCACATTTTCCAATTGATCAATCTCTATGCAGAGCCCATTAAGGGCAGTACAGACCCTTAAACATGAGGGAGATATAGGGAGAGAAGGGAGGGGGCTAAATCAAAATGGAGTTGGAAGGGGAGATAAAGCACCTCTCCCTGTTGGTGGACACTGCTCTCCCTCTCCAAGATTCCTGGGCACAAAACATACTGAAGTGGTTCCTTTTTTTGCTTTTTCTAATCAACTTGTTCAGAGATGTTCTGACACATCTCTGGAAGAGGTGGGACCTGAACCTGGGCCTCCTTACTCAAAGGTAGGGACGCTACCACTGTGCGCTACCTGAAGTGGTTCCTTTTTTCTCCCCCATACCTGTATATCAGGGAATGCCTGAAGTGGGTCCTTAGCTGAGGAATAGAATTGGAACAACCTGTCCCTTATAAAAATTAGTGGAAATGTTATCTGCTTTTAATTTTGAATACATATTGTTCAGGGCTCGGGCTACAATGGTTACTTAACTTGGTGACCAGTGAATTTAAATTGAGTGCCATGTCATCAGACATTTGTTGTCCTACATGTTGCTCCTCATTTTCGAAACAGAAGTAAGATTACTGAACCAATAACAAGTTTGAAATGATCCTATTAAACTGACTGTGCCAGGCTAAGTTTCTGTGAATGACAGATTAATGTTTCTGGTTGGGTGAATGTGCAGGATGCAAAGGAGTGGGCAGATGGTGACAGTTGGATGGATGTGAGGCCAGCAAATTTGAGGTCATGAGACTGGCAAGAGGGCTGAGGCTGGCAGTCGTCTAGTGAGAGTGATGGGCATTATATTAGTGTATTCATGTGCAAGAAATGTACTCTGTTTTCCTTCAGGATTTTAAATCATTTGCTGAAAATTCTCACTTCCAGGATTATCATAAAATTATCAAGCAACCCATGGATATGGGGACAATAAAGAAACGGTTAGAGAGCAATTATTACTGGAGTGCAAGTGAGTGCATGCAGGATTTCAACACCATGTTCACCAACTGCTACATCTATAACAAGGTAATACATGGACCATACCAGTCTGTCTACTAATTTGAAATGAACAAATGAATGTCAACTCTTTCTGTCTGTTCCTGTTTCTTGTCAGTCATTAATGTCCCCTTACTCCCCCCTTATACTCTATGCGCATGACCGATCCAGGTTTTAAAGATCCATTTTTTCCGTAAGAGCAGGTAAGGAAAGATATTGGTTATCTAATGTGATTAGTAATCTCATATGTTACTTGTGATGAATTATCTGGAAAATTAGTTTAAACTCCATTGTGGCAGCTAGGAAATCTAAATGTTAATTAATTAAATCTGAAACAAAATACTAGACTCAGAAATAGTGAGTGTGAGACTACAGATTATCTTCAAAACACATCTGGTTTACTTGTATCCTTTTACAAAAGAGCTCCTGCTGTCCTTACCTGGCCTGAGTCTATATGTGATTCCAGAGTGTGATTTTGACTTGAATTGCCCTCTGAAATGGCCTAGTGAGCAATGCAGCTGGGAGGTTTGCACCATCTTCTCAAAGATAATAAGGATGGGTGTGAAATGCTGGCCTTACAAATATCCTGTATTTGAATAAAACATATGGAGCTGACAATTTGCAAACCATTGCTGGTTGACTGAAACTTTGTTCAACACTTGGTATCTAATTAGCCTTTAGAGCACTTCCCCTAGAAATAGCCAAGTAGTGGCTTAAAAGGGAATGGCTGCATAAATACTTCAACCATAGCAAGTCGCCACCAAACCCTTGAGCATCTGTGAGAATACAGTGGGAAATGATGGATAACAGTGTGATGGGGACATTTACCAAGTGCATTAGCAGCCGACAGGGAGAGGGGATCTCCTTTGTGAAGCTGCCGTTCTTTCTCTGGTGTTGACAGATGCATGGCTCGTTTCTAGAGCATTCCTTTCTTATTTCATTCTCGCTTGTGCTGTATATTTTTATCTCATTCGGAAAGGAGCAGTCTAGAGAAACTAAGATCATTCTCCGTACAGCAGAGAAGGTTAAGGGAAGATTGAATAGGTTTTTAAAGAAAGCTGGAATTTTGCTGGAATAAATAATAAGAAACTGCCCGGTGGCAGTGGGACACTGCTTGAAGGTAACTTTGATGTGGAGTTGCTAATGTTGGACTGGAGTGGACAAGGTCAGAAATCTCACAACAGCAGGTTTATTTGAACAAACGAGCTTTCGGAACACAGCCCCTTCTGACCTTAAGATAATCTTTGAAAGAACTAGAGGGAACATGAGACTAATATTGTTTGGTTGTGTTTAATACAAATGCCATTTCTCAGTGGTGCAGCAACTACATTACACATAGAAATGCACTTCGCTACACTATGGTCACTTCCTATACTGTAAGGTTCTATAAATTGTCTTCCAGTCTCTGTCACTGCAGCACATGTGTCATGATTTATATTATTATGTAGCACCAACCAGTCACCAGTCCCTGTGTGCACATCCTTTTGAACCTCCTCCTCTCTCTCAGCCTGGCGATGACATTGTGTTGATGGCGCAGACTCTGGAGAAGATCTTCCTGCAGAAGGTTGCTCAGATGCCTCAGGAGGAGGTGGAGCTAATGGCCTCATTACCAAGGGGCAAAAGTCGAAAGCAGCCAGGTAACTAAAATTGTCCAGGTACAAGGTAATGATTCAGATTTAATTTATAACCTGAGGTCTACTTAGAGAACACCCCCCAGAAAAATGCCACCATCCTGGGCCATACCAATGTGGTCCCACGTTCCAGCTCTGATCTTTGCTGAGCCAGTAAAACTCAAGGTGGCTGCCAGGCTCAGACTCCCAACAGCTTCAGGAAGAGGAGATTCATAGATTCATAAACTGCACAAAAGGCCCTTTGGCCCATCAAGTCTGCACCGACATAACTACCATTAAAGTTGTGCTAATCCCAATTTCCTGCACTTGTCTCATATCCTTCGATGTTATCGAATTTGAAATGCTCATCCAAATACTTTTTAAAGGTTGTAAGGTTTCCGGCCTCGACTACCTTCCCAGGTAGTGCATTCCAGATTCTCATCACTCTCTGAGTGAATAAGTTTTTTTTCTCCCCCCAGATCCCCTCTGAATCTCCTACCCCTTCCCCTAAAACTATGCCCTCTCGTGATTGACCCCTCAACGAAGGAAAGCAGCTGCTCTCTATCCGCCCTGTCCATACCCCTCATAATCTTATACACCTCAATCATTTCCCTTTCTGCCTTTTCTGCTCTAAAGAAAGCAATCCAAGCCTAACTAGTCTCTCCTTATAGCCCAGTTTCTCCATTCCAGGCAACATCCTGGTGAACCTCCTCTGTACCCCTTCCAATGTTTTATCACATCCTTCCTGTAGTGAGGAGACCAGAATGGAACACAGTAGTCTAGTTGTGGCCTGACCAATGTTCTGTACAACTCCAAAGTTGCCTCCTTGCTTTCCTACTCTATACCATGACCGAGATCAACCAGCTTTTCGTGAGCACTACTCAACTGTCTAGGGCTGAGTTTCGGCTGTGATACCCTCTGAAGAGGGACAGAAGAGAGATTGTAATGAATGCTGAGCACTCTTCCCATATCCCAGCAAAAAATTGATGCATTGAACAGAAACAGGGCGAGAACTGTTCCTCCAAAAGGGAAGTTTTTTTGAGTTGAATCCAGTGTGTTTATTTCTCTCTTTATGTCTCTCTGTGGTCATAGCAGGATGAATCTCCTTATCAACCTGTTCATAGATGTTATTACACAGCTCTGGAGTAAGTGGGACTTGAACCTAGTCTCCTGGCCCAGCAGTAGGGACACTATGACTGTGCCATAAGAGCCTTCAGGATGAATTTGCTAATGGTGATGGCTTTGTCACTGGGGTTACAGTGGTGTGTTTATTGTGTTCTTACCCAAGGAAGGCTATTTATGCATATATTAGAAGAAAAAGGGTAGCAAGGGATTGAGTAGGCCCACGCAAGGACAAAGGAGGGAAGTTATGCGTGGAGCCACAGGAAGTGGGAGAGATCCTTAATAAGAACTCTTATTGATATTCACCATGGAGAAGGACATGATTGATGTTGAGGTCAGGGATTAGTGTGTGAATACCCTGGAGAATGTCAATATATTAAAGGAGGAAGTTTTGGGTATCCTAAACTGCATTAAGGTAGACAGGACCCCAGGGCCCGATGGGATCTATCTCAGGTTGCTGTGAAAGACAAGGGAAGAAGCGAAGAAATAGCTGGGGCATTAGCAGATACCTTTGCATCCTCTTTGACCATCGGCGAGGTTCTAGAGGACTGGAGATCAGCCAGTGTTGTTCCCTTGTTTAAGAAAAGAAGCAGGGATAATCCAGGACATTGTAGGCTGGTGAGTCTGATGTCTGTGGTGGGGAAGATCTTGGAGAAGATACTGAGGGACAGGATATAAGCACATTTAGAAGAAAATGGACTAGTTAGTGACATGGTTTTGTACGTGGAAGGTCATGTCTCACCAACCCAATTAAAGTTTTTGAAAAGGTGACAAAGATAACTGACGAGAGAAGGGCTGTGGATGTAGTTTATATGGACTTCAGTAAGGTATTTGATAAAGTCCCACATGGCAGATTTCAGGGTGGGCCGGCTAGATGGATGCAAAACTGGTTTGGTCATAGAAGACAGAGGGTAGTGGTGGAATAATGGAGACGGGTAACTAGTGGTGTTCCACAGGGATCAGTCATAGGCCCTCTGTTGTCTGTAGTATATATAAATGATTTGGAGGAAAATGTGGGTGGTCTGATTAGTAAGTTTGCAGATGACACAAAGATTGGTGGAATTTCTGATGGTGCCGACGATTGTGAAAGGATGCAACAGGACATAGATAGATTGGCGACTTGGGCGCAGAAATGGCAGATGGAATTTAATCCAGACAAATGTGAGGTGATGCATTTTGGAGGATCAAATTTAGGTGTGAATTACACTGTAAATAATAGAACCCTTAGGAACATTAACAAACAGATGGATCTGGGCGTACAGGTCCACAGTTCCCTTAAAGTGGCAACACAGGTGGCGAAGGTGATTAAGAAGGCATATGGTACGCTTGCTTTCATCGGCCGGGGCATGGAGTATAAGAGTTGGGAAACCATGTTGCAGCTATATAAAACGCTTGTTAGGCCGCATTTGGAGTATTGTGTGCAGTTTTCGCCACTACATCATCAGAAGGATGTGGAAGCTTTAGAGAGAGTGCAGAGAAGGTTCACCGGGATGTTGCCCGGTCTTGAAGGCATAGGCTATGAGGAAAGGTTAAAAAGACTCTGATTGTTTTCGCTGGAAAGATGGCAGCTGAGAGGAGACCTGATACAGGTCTACAGAATTATGAGAGGCACAGACAGGGTGGATAGTTAGAGGCTTTTTCCCAGGGTTGAAGTTTCAATTACAAGGGGGCACAGGTTCAAGGTGAGAGGGCAAAAGTTTAAGGGAGATGTGCAAGGGAGGTTTTTAATGGAGAGAGTGGTAGGAGCCTGGAATGCGCTGCCAGAAGAGATGGTTGAAGCAGGCACATTGGCGTCATTTAAGAGGCATCTGGATAGTGACATGAATAGGGAGGGAATAGAGGGGTATGCACTGAACAGGAGCAGAAGGCTTGTTATTTTAGTTTAGTTCGGCATGATGATCAGCGCAGGCTTGGAGGGCCGAAGGGCCTGTTCCTGTGCTGTATTGTCTCTTTTGTTTTTTTGAATGGATCTAACCCTGGATTCACGTTTCAGGTGTTGGATTGGCCACATTGAGATCCTGCCTTTCAACGATTGCAGCAGAACTTTCCCAAAGGCCATACAAAGCACCTACTTACAGCAGAGAAAGACAGTGTTACTGAGGAATTGATTGGACTGTTTGTGACTTCAAATCTGAACCAAAAGACTCTGTTTACTTGTGTACTTGACGTGCTTCAGTTCTGTCCAGTTTTGACTTGGGAATTACTCTGTTCCTTTTCTTTCTCTGCAGGAGTACAGCAGGTGGGGGCAGTGTCTTCAGCCAGTGAGCCAACTGCCTTCTCAGAAGCCCCTACCACAGCCTGTCCTTCTCCCATCATTGTCTCCACTGTGGTGCCAACAGCTTTGCTCAGTCAGGTCACAGCAGCTCCTGCTCAATCGTCCAGCTCGGTGATGCCAGTAATTCCTCCAGTGACGCAGCTAATTACTAAGGTAGCAACCCACTCCACGTTTGGCTCCATTTATTGGATGGTTAGTCCCATATGCAGCGAATGGCTGTCACCAACCCTCTGTGGGGCAGGCAGTCTCGGCTTTAAAGCAGGAGTTATTTCTGTGATGTCACTGGCCTGTTTCTGTGCAGTGAGTGGTTCACAGGCAAATGGAAAAGTCTCAGCTTCAATTGCTCATCTCGGGAATGAAGCGAAAAGTCCTGGACTCAGGACGAGGCTTCAGGAAGGTGGTTAACAGTAAGCTGTACCAAGTAAGGGAAAACCAGGCAAGATGGAAAATTTTGAACCACAAACTGGTCCTGTTCAACTGGGATGGCACATTGGCACACGAGCCTGTTCAGAGATGTTGGAGGGGAAGGATGATATGGTGATTAGATGGAATTCTATGAAGGAATCAGGTAGTACCCTGTTAACAGCATCAAACGTTGAATATATCAAGCTGGTGAGAATTCAGGTTCAGCATAGTATTGAAGGGAAAACTAGGGGAGTGAAGATTCTGGACACAAAAACAGAGAATGCTGGAGAAGCTCAGTAGGTCTAGGCAGCATCTGTGGAGAGAAAAGTAAAATTAATGTTTCAAGTACGCTGACGATTTCCAAGTTTGCAACGGACACAAAAACAAGTGGAAGCATGAATTGTGCAGAAGTTGGAACAATGCTTCGAGGGGCTAAATGAGTGGTCAGAAATTTTGCAGATGCAATATGAAGGAGATATGAGGTTTTCCGCACTCATAGAAAAAAACAGAAATACAGAGTATTTCTTAACTGGTGGTAGGCTGGGGAAGTGTTCAACTTCAGATCTGTGATGGAGTGGGTTCTTGTCGATGAACCACTGAGCGTTTACACACAGATACAGCAAGCAATTAAGGTAAGTGGTATGTTGGCCTACATTACAAGGGGACTTGAGGACAAGAGTAAAGATATCTTACTTGAATTTTATGAAATCTTGTGAGACCACATCTGGAACATTGCGTGCAGTTTTGGTCTCCATACCTACAAAAAGATATACCGGCCACAGAGGGTTGCAATGTACGTTCACCAGGGAGGTGCCTGGAATGTGCTTTTAGGGGAAATGGTAGAAGTAGATACGATAGTACTATTTAAGAAACATTTGGACAGATACATGTACAGGCAATGAACAGAGGGATACAGACCATGTGCGGGCATATGGGATCATGGTTGGTACAGATATGGTAGGCTGAGGGGCCTGTTCCTATGCTGTACTATTCCATGTTGTGTTCTTACTAGGTGTGCGTGTGTGTGTGTGTGTGCATATGTTATATATAGTAGGGGCACGGGTGGTGGAGTTCCAGAACAGTAAGTACAAGGTCCGACTGAGCAACAGGCAATGTAGGATTGAGATGAGTGGAAATGTCAGTCAGTCAGAGGCGTGAGCATCAGGTGAGTATTTGAATTTTGCTGCCGCAGAGGGTTGTGGACACTTGGCCATTGAGTATGTTGAAGTTTGATATTCAAAAATTTCTACATATTAAAAATGTGAAGGCATACAGGAAGCATCAGGGGATTAACCCTAACCTATCTCGGGAAAGTAATGTTCAAGAAGAAAATTAGTCCTGGATATCATTGAATGATGGAGTGAGTTCAAGAGCTGAATGGCCCCCTCCAATTTCATATGTTCTTCTAAGTTCTTAAAAGCCTTTTGTTCCCTTGTTTTAGAAAAAGGGTGTGAAACGGAAAGCAGACACTACAACTCCCAGCACGTGTGCCATGACTGCGAGTGAGTCCCCTCCTCCAGCCTCAGCAGAACCCAAACCTTCAAAGCTGGCATCCCGACGAGAGAGTGGGTGTCCCACCAAACGAGCAAGGAAGGAAGTGGAGGAGATGGAACTCCAGCCATCCCTGGGGAAGAAGGGGAAACTGACCGAACACCTGAGGCACTGTGACAGCATCCTGAGGGAGATGCTGTCCAAGAAACATGCAGCCTATGCGTGGCCTTTCTACAAACCTGTGGATGCTGAGGCCCTGGAACTGCACGATTATCATGAAATCATTAAGCACCCAATGGATCTCAGCAGTGTGAAAGTACGTTAGCTTCTCCTGTGCCCTAACAGACAGGCAATTGTGATGGTAGGAACTGCAGATGCTGGAGAATCCGAGACAACAAGGTGCAGGGCTGGATGAACACAGCAGGCCAAGCAGCATCATAGGAGCA